CCAAGGGCTGATAATATATCAGGCATGTGGCTGGAAAAGGCAGCATGGAATGTTTCAAAAAGGATGTGCTGAACGTACTGTATCCAGCATGAAACAACAGCGCTGGGTTGACTTGTGTCACTTCACTGATGTCGCCAAGACCAGATCTGGCAGGGGATTTCTGAGACTTGTTTGTGCTGTAGATGCTGAGGTCCCATTTATTTCGGCAGCTAACGATTTAACTTCCTAAATATGTTGGGTAAGTCCTGTAACTGGAGACAGAATAATATCATGCAAGACAAACATTTTGCAGTGGGTGTAACGGCATCATTATGCAACTGGGGTGAAATCTACACCTGGACAGGGTATAAGCCTTTCAGCACAGTCTGAACATCACCCCCGTGGGTTTCGGCTTCTTTGCTGAATTTCAGGCTCTGAATAAAATGCTGCGCATACTGTGATTAGACACTAAAAATGCCCTTTCTCTCAATGAAAATACAAAGTGTTGGATGAGGAGATAGCAGAGAAAAGCACCCTGTCCTGGAAGGCATCTGATAGCCCAAGCCTACACCAGGAAGGCTGAAGTGCCAGGATTCAGGCAGAACTAACAAATGCCTGTCTGTATTTGCATTACCTGTGCTTTCAGCTGTCTCACACAGGAAAGGGAGAGCCTGGATTAAAACCCACATTATGGCAGGGTGGAAAAAAAGAGATTCCTATAGCTCCCATTATTGGCACATGCTGCAGGCAAGAGCGATGCCTGCTTTGATCAAGTGCACTGGGTCCCTCCTCACCAATCACCAGGAAATTGATATAAACACCCAGGCAGGTTTTTAAGAGCTTTGCTTCTCCCTGCTTAAAAAGAGGCTCAACTCCTCGTGCATGAAGATGCAGCACAGGCCCATGATTATCTAGTCAGGATCCACAGTGCTTAATTAAGTTGCTTATCATGTTATCATCCCGTCTCTCTTCATCCTGCTTGGAAGCACGCACCCTTGCACCCACCTCGTGCCAGAGAGCAGCAGCTTGTGTGTGTGTGTGTGTGTGTGTGTGTGTGTGTGTGTGTGTGTAACGGCACCATTACACACCCGGAGGTGCCAAAACCTACAGTTTATGGTGCACAGTTTGAGTTGCACCAACACTGCACACCGTAAATATGGTTTTTCCATTCATTACTCTTGGCAGCTTCACGATGACGGTGAGCTAACTGTAGCTGCCTGGAGTTACTGCTGTTTAATTACCCCCTTTGAACAGAGGCCCCTTTGCCTCGTTAGCGTTCGGGACTGATCCTGCCAAGCTGCAGCGCTCGTTGCTAGGGAGGTGTGAGAGCTGTGCTGCAACACCATTCCCAGCGCTGCCAGAGTTTGTCGTTCACACAGTGCTGCTCCGGGGACAACCGCCAAGGGCCCTGTGAGGTGCTGAGCACTAACCCTGCTTTTCTGAAGTGCAGTAATATCCAGCTGCTTCACCCACACCAAGCCCATATCAACCACACCAGCCTTTAAAAGAAAATATAAATGTGTATGCACGTGGGTGAACACTTATTGCTTAATTGCAAGATGGAGATGGCTGGCCTACTTGTTCAAACAAAACAGCAGTTCAAGCTGCGGAAGAAAAGTCCTCAAATCCCTGGATTGTTCCCAACCAGTGCGGATGCTCCCACAGCACAGGGTTTGTGTGCTTCAGCCTCACCCAATGGCTGGGATGGGAATTTATTTTCCATTCTTATACGGCACCTGGTACTCGAGCTGAGCAGAGCTGACAGCCACTCCGATGGTGGAAACCTCTCCGCTGAACGCCGGGCCAGGACCATCGAGTCAGGGACGAGGGTATCACCACATGGTTTGCTGTGATAAAAACCAGCCAACAGTCACATTTGAGAACATCTTTGCCCAAACACCCCGCATTGAGCTCTTCCCCGGAGGGCCCCAGGACACCCTTCACTCTCCCTGGCTGGGTGTTTGTCACCTGGGTCAACCAGGGGAATAATCTCCGCACTTGGTTTTGGAAGGCACTGGGAAGTGACACCCAACCTCACAGTGGTGCGGGACACATGAAATCAGCTTCCCTGGGAGGTTTTAACAACAACTGTTAATGCTTCTATTACTCTTTCTCCTCTCTGATTCTTTATCCCTTGCATTCACAGGCATAAGCACCAATTCAATACCTTCCTGCTCGTGGGGTAACTGGATGGGAATGTCCATTTTAACCTTAGACAGTGAAGCCGTGGAGTGGTCTTGTTACAGATTATTGTACCACCAAAAATAGTTTATAAGTGTTCATTTCCTCCAGTGTAATTCCCTGAGAGTTTAATTTACCAGACTATTTTCTCTTTTATTTTTTCTCACCATTTCCCCAGGAGAAGACAAGGGAGGCTCGGTTCCTCCAACTCTAACAAAGCAGCACGCTCATCTGGAGGGCATCAATAACTATCGAACTATCACGCTTACTCCACTTAGACTGTTGAAGCAGCTTCCTTTAATTGTTCTTTCACACTGTAAATACCGTGTAAGGTGAATTTCTTTCCATTAAGGTCACGCCACCCTGGGGGGTGGAAAGACCTCATCTACCTCACCTGTCATAGCCCGCAGCCCCCTGAGGCACTACTCAAAATCTGTTACACTGTTCTCCTTGGGAAAGGCTCCACTGCATCAGGGACAGACCTGGGGAGCAGACAGACACGAGGATCTGGCATGGCATGGCCTCACAGGCCGCCGGGATGCTGGCGTGGTGCAGATCTGGAAACCACCCCCCACAAATACAGGTTGGCTACAGTGTGTGGGGGGAAATGGCAGAAAACCCAGCCAGGGTTGTCTCAGTGTTCAGAGTGTGGGGGTTCACACCACACCCCCGCTGTGAGGGACGCCTTGAGGTGGGGGGCCAGGCAGTATCCCCCCTTGGCAGCTCCTCACAGGGGCTGTGGCGGTGGCGCAAGCACCGGGTCCTCTCAGCAGCTCCTCTCGGGGGCTGGGGGGCGGCACACGCACCGGATCCCCTCAGGGTCTCCCACAGGGGCTGTTGGGGGGGGCACACGCACCGGATCCCCTCAGGGTCTCCCACAGGGGCTGTGGGGGGGGCACACGCACCGGATCCCCTCAGGGTCTCCCACAGGGGCTGTGGGGGGGCACACGCACTGGATCCCCTCAGGATCTCCTCACAGGGGCTGGGGGGGGGGGGGGGGGGGCACACGCACCGGATCCCCTCAGGGTCTCCCACAGGGGCTGTTGGGGGGGGCACACGCACCGGATCCCCTCAGGATCTCCCACAGGGGCTGTTGGGGGGGGCACACGCACCGGATCCCCTCAGGGTCTCCCACAGGGGCTGTTGGGGGGGGCACACGCACCGGATCCCCTCAGGATCTCCCACAGGGGCTGTGGGGGGGGCACACGCACCGGATCCCCTCAGGGTCTCCCACAGGGGCTGTGGGGGGGCACACGCACTGGATCCCCTCAGGATCTCCTCACAGGGGCTGGGGGGGGGGAGGGGGCACACGCACCGGATCCCCTCAGGGTCTCCCCAAAGGGGCTGGGGGGGGGGGGGGCACACGCACCGGATCCCCTCAGGATCTCCCCACAGGGGCTGTGGGGGGGGGCACACGCACCGGATCCCCTCAGGGTCTCCCACAGGGGCTGTGGGGGGGGGCACACGCACCGGATCCCCTCAGGATCTCCCACAGGGGCTGTTGGGGGGGGCACACGCACCGGATCCCCTCAGGATCTCCCCACAGGGGCTGTTGGGGGGGGCACACGCACCGGATCCCCTCAGGATCTCCCACAGGGGCTGTGGGGGGGGTACACGCACCGGATCCCCTCAGGGTCTCCCACAGGGGCTGGGGGCGGGGGGAGGCACACGCACCGGATCCCCTCAGGATCTCCCACAGGGGCTGGGGGGGGGGGGGGGCACACGCACCGGATCCCCTCAGGATCTCCCCACAGGGGCTGTTGGGGGGGGCACACGCACCGGATCCCCTCAGGGTCTCCCCAAAGGGGCTGTGGGGGGGGGGGGCACACGCACCGGATCCCCTCAGGGTCTCCCACAGGGGCTGTGGGGGGGCACACGCACTGGATCCCCTCAGGATCTCCCCACAGGGGCTGTGGGGGGGGCTCACGCACCGGATCCCCTCAGGATCCCCCCACAGGGGCTGTGGGGGGGGGCTCACGCACCGGATCCCCTCAGGGTCTCCCCACAGGGGCTGGGGGGGGGGGGGGGGGGCACACGCACACCCACCCGCTCCCCTCCGCGCGGTCCCTGAGGGGGCGCGCGGGGGGCGCCGGCCCCTCCCCCGGCAGGTGGCCCCCGCGCGGCGGCGGAGGCCGGTGGGTGACGTCAGCGGCGGGGGCGGGCGCGCGGTGCCGGTGCGCCGAGCCGAGCCGGGCCATGGCGGAGCGGCCCCCGGTAAGTGCCTCTGTGTCCCCCTCGGTCCTTGCTTCCCCCCCCCCCCCCCCCCCCCGCCATTCCCTCCTTCGCGCCGTGCCCGGGCGCTGCTCCCGCTTCCCCTCCCGCGCCGTGCTGAGCCCGCCGGCGGCCGGCGCTGAGGGGATTTGAGGCGGGGGGCGTGTGTGTGTGTGTGTGTGTGTGCGAGGAGGGGGGGGGGGAGGCGGTTGGAGGGCGGCGGTTACGGCGGGTGAGCGGCTTCGCTGCCCGCTCCGTGAGGCGCCGGGACGGAGCCGTCCCCCAAACCCGCTTTCCCCGGGGCTCAGCCCCGCTGCCCCCGCCGGAGACACCCCCCCCCCCCCCCTCCTCCCTCCTTGGAGCGGGGGGCTTAAAATCCGCCAGACACCTGCAGCGCTGCTACGGTTTTACACCCGCTTTATGCTCCTATCCCCGCGGTATGCGCGCGTACACACAGACTCGGGGGCTTGCACAGCTAAATCTGCGCACAGCCGAACCGGTGTCAGCCTGCCCCACAGGTCCCCGGCCCCTTTCCCCGCATCCAGAGAGGGAAATCTGCTTCTCTCCCCCTCCAAAGCAGGCAGCGGTTGCTCCCGGTGTTAATTTATTTACTCCTTCGCCTGAACTAGACCCCCAGGTCTGGGAGCGTGCGGCTGGAGATGGCAGGTGGCGGTGGTCCAGGCTTTAATGGCATCAAACGTGCTCAGCGTGTGGCGGGCGCGCGTTTGGCTGCCGCGCCGGGAGGCACGTCGCTTTCGGGAAGGTTCATCCCAGGCTGGTGTGGTGTGAGTACTGGAAAGTGTTGGGGGGGGGCGAGGAAAAACCCCAACGCTGGTGTCCCAGCAGCTTTGCTGGGCTGCCCCTGCGCAGCGCTTTGCCCAGCTGCATCCCCCTGGCCCAAGGCATCAGGCGGGTTAAGGGTGAGCGGTTCCCCCAAGTGTGCTGTGCATCCAGAGGTCAAACTTTTCTGGGTATTGAAGGTATTCGGGTACCTCTGCTGCCTGTTCCTCGAGTCTGTATCATGCCTGTGTGCTTGGGGGATGTCGCGGCCGAAGAAGGTGATGTGCAATATCAATGGGTTTCTCTTGATGGTGGTTTTGGCTTGGTTTTGGAGACACAATGGCTGAGAAGGGTTTTGATCCCTGCATTCAGCCCTGTGTTGCTTGTTTCTCGCTGCTCATCAGGCAGGTCTAATCCTACCTGGTGCTGAGAGCTTCCCAGGAAACGCAGAATCTGCAGCAGCAGCCCAACCTCCTGTAGAACAAGGCATGGGGATGGTGACATCTTTTTCACCACCTGGGATATGATCATGGGACGCAAATGAGACTTGGAGTTGCAGGTGGGCATCAACATTCCCCCTCCCTGCAAAAGAGGAAAAGGTAAAGGGACACAGTACCCCACTAGATTCTCCAGTGCTTGGGAGACCACCGCTGTGACCTCTGCTTGGCCTTGGAGCCAAAACAGAGAAAAGTCAAGCTCACCGCAGTCCTTTCCCTCCTCAAGCTGAGCCCAGCCTGTTAATGAGGACTGATAAGGGCTGAAATACCAATCAAATAACCCATACTCAGAAAGGATGCTGAACTGCAAGCTTCTTGGCCAACTTCAGGCTCTCCAGGTTGAGTGCTTCATGGAGATGCTTTATCTCTTATCTCTGTTTATCTCTTCTTTATACCTAGAACAGAGACATAAATACCTGCCTCCAGATGCTGGCATAGCTTCTCATCCTGCTTCTGCCTCCTGAGTGCTGGGCAACTCAGCAAGGCAAAATCACCAGTATTGGCATTACGAGCTGAAATTACCTCTCGATTTTTCCAGGCAATGTGAGGCAACTCACTTGCAGTTGAAGCTGTCCTGGTAGATGCGGTTTCTTTGCTCTCTCTTGGGCATCTAAAAGTCTCTGTTCTGAGCTGCCCCCCACCAAATGGAGGGGACAGGCCCCTCCTGAACGAGATTTGTTTTGCCCCATGGTGAACCCCCAGATGCAGGGCAGGTGAATGTCATTCAGAGTGCTGGTTCAGACTTGGATATCTGAAGAAGTCTACATTTAAGTAAGAGGAATCTTACCCAGTGCTTGCAAACCTTGATTTTAAGTCCTTTCGCCTTGGTCTTTCCTTTTTTAGAATGACCCTGCTGTTCTGGTAGCACTCAGGCCTTTTTTGAGACATAAATAATGCTTCCGAAACTTTCCATGTCCCCAGGTGGGAGGTGTTGCAGAAATGCAACTGCAGGGAAACATTTGCAGCTCATCTTTCTGCAGACACAGAAGGCTGGGTGAAAAAACAGCCTGTTAATTTTGTTTTAAGGACTCTAGGCAATGGTGAATGTACCCCCCACCATCCTCCCCTACCTTGTGCCAACGTTTAATTACTCTCACTCTGGGGACATGCTGTCTCATTTCAAGGTTGAACTTACCTAGCTTTGACTTGCAGAGCGGGGGATGTTGTGCCCTTGTCACAAAGGTGGCTTGTCACTCCCAGCTCCTTGCCCACAGTGATCGGGTCACCGCTTTGCCTACTCCTTAGGAGGCTGAAGTATATGAGGTGCTACAACCTCATGTTGAGAGGCTCCTGCTCCATCATGTACAGTTTTTGTGGGTACCCCTGGGACTTTGCTGGTGTGAACACATCATCCGGATGCCAGTCTGGATGCAGCCATGACCTTGACAGTGCTCTGTATTGGTTTGATCTTGCTTTCTAACTTCTAATGGATGTATTTCCCATTGCACCTCCATGGACTGCCTCCTTTTGCTCTGGCTTTGCTGTGATGGCGTATGCAGAAGAGGTGCCCCACGCTCATCCCAAATACTTTTCTGGCTCAGAGAGAGACATTCCTTGTCCAAATTTGTGTATTACTTTGCCATGTGAAGACATGGTCTGTTGGACTGTGATTTGCAGTGAGGCTATTTGGGTCTTCATGCAAGTGTGTCATCAGCCAACCATCCACTAGTTACTGGGTTTTTTTGTGTGTTACAGGTTTATATTTAATATAATCCACCAGAAGGAATTACAGATGAGACTGAGCAATAACAAAAATCCCTGAGGACCATACTTGGCTGCTGGCTTCCCTCCCTGGTCTTGCCCTGTCAACACCATGCTTGGGGCTGTGCTGGCAACACACCTCATGTGTGGGGTTTGTTACACCTGGTGTGAGATTTATCCTCAAAGTATCACATGCTTTGGAGAACTGCAGGCCAGTGCTGTGTCGAGGCAGTTGCCTGCGTCATGCAGCCCTGTTAGCTGTTAAAAAAGTCTTTTAAATAGATCTAATTCTAGGAGCCTCAGCTGGCTGATTGAAATTGTATTTTTAGTCTTCGGTTCATGCGTTTACCTGAAATTTCTGTCCTGCTGTTCTAGCTAGAGCTGACCTCAGGTTGCCTGCTGCTCCTGACCTTTACCTTTTGTCCTTAAAATACCATGACTACACAAAGTTTCCCTGTGTTTCACTGGTTGATTTTTAAAATGCTTTGTTTTAGCAGATGTTTGGCAATACTGAAATCTTTTATCATTAGGGGTTTTAAGGTAGGTTGTACAGGAGGTTGTTGGGAAAGACCCTGCCGTGGGGCACACTGCGTTTCTCTCGTGCTCTTTGGTAACTGTTTTATTCCATCCCCATTGGCAGCACATTACTCACTTCCAGTTTTACTGATGGCACCTAATAGTGAATCTAGTAGGTATCAAATTGTCTATTCCTGGCATGCTTAAAAAGTGCCTTACTTCACAATTAATTCTGTTGGCTGTTCACGTTTATTGGATTCCTTTAGAGGTCCTCATCAGTCACTAACCTTGGACAATTCTTTGCAATGACATTTCTTTTTCATCTTCCTTTGCCTTTTAGAAAGATCATGTTTCCATGCATTTTCCACATCTCATTTTTGCCAGAATGGCTTTTGCCTGATTTAACTCTTGCTGCTTTTCTGGGTTTGTAACTTTTGGGCTATTTGGTAGATGCTTCAAGTGATTCCTGTACTCAGTCACTTAATGATTGCTTTTGGCTCTGTAAAACTTGCCCTCTTAAATTTAGACACTGCTGCCATTATTTTGGGTTTGTAGTTTCTGTGACTCGGACAGAAACAGAAAGAAGCTATAATGGAAGAGCACTTGCATTAGACATGGCAGTTCAGTTTGGCTCCATCCTCATCACATAGGTCTGCTGCTCTGTGGGCAGTTAATGCTGAAACATGAGCTATGCCATGTGCCAGCAGCGGCTTTTCATCCAAAAGACTTATCCGTGTGTTCCTTGGGTTTGATATTGATTATTCATTAGTTGTTTGCATTGTGGTATTTTTATTTACATCTCTGGGTGTATGTATGTGATGAATAGTGGTAAGATGTTGTCCTCCTTGTACCAGTGCAGCTGTATGCTTAGAAGAGAGTGAAATTCAGTGCTTGTGGACTGCAAATGCCCAGCAAATGGTCTTTGAGTGTCTTTGACACCTCCGTGGAAGAAAATCACATACTTCATACAGTTTGAGTTATTTTTGTGCATTTAAGCACCTGGTCTCTTCATCTGTGCCTCGACATCTTCATACTCCTCCCCCGACTGACTGCTGAACCTTTCAGACCTTGCCGGCTGCTCTTCCCAGGCAGGCACGATGCTGACCAGTGCAGCCCAGGCTTGGCACTGGGAAGCCACTGTGTGTTTCCCATGATCTGTGCTAGGGCGAGGTTAAACGGTGATCTGCTTTGAGGGCTTTCCAGGAAGAATTGCATGGGAGGATTTACCGGAGCCGATTTCAGCCCTGCTGAAAGGTGCCAGGGTGACCTTGCTGCTGCTGCCTCTCTCCGGGGCTGGGTCAGGAGCGGGACAAGCTCCCAAATCTCTCTACTGACAATGTCCCCTGGATTGGACGCTGCAGGTGCAATTAGCACAGTTTCTTCCTGCAGCGCTTTTGCATCCAAGCTAAGCCTGTCTTTAAAAAGCAGCCAGCGTGGTTGTGTTTGGAACAAGCAGCTCAGTTTCTATATTATACACAACAGTCATCTCTGTAGGAAGCTGGCCAGCCCACGCCGCTGCAGCAGCCCAGTGCTACATGGCTCTGAGCGTGCTTATCCTTGGGGTGCTCCTGGGAGGAAGGGAAGGAGTGGGGAAACTTGAGGAAAAAGCTTTCTGGATCGCAGATGTGAGCGTCCCCAGTGGTGCAAGAAGTGGTGCCCGGGTACACGTCAGGTCACTGGTGGGGATGCTCTGGTGTTTTTCTGGGTGCACAGCTGCTCTGTGGTGGGTAGAGCGGTCTTCTCCTGAGACCAGGTGTGGATCTGCCACGTGCAGGTGGGAAACCTGCATATGTCTCTTGTGCCTGTCCCCTTGCATCTACTCTTGCCTTCCTCACCATCCCTGACCTGCCACAGATAAGGTCACCTTCCACTGCCTGGAGCCCTTGTCTTACTCCCCCGCTGAGCAATGGGAGACTTTCCAAGTCCATACCATTTCCCAGGGAAGCGGCTTGGCTCAGCTGTGTGTCAGCTTCATGTTAGGATCAGGGAAGAGCAAGCAACCCCCCCTGCCCCAGGCAGATATCTGTTAGGGTCCATCTGTCCCAGCTGCTCAGATTGTTTGCACAAGTCAGATCTTGGCAACACCTGATTTTACAACAGTGTTAATTACATGGTAACTGATACACCTGCAACAATTAGCTATGTAAACTAAGATAAAAAGCCTAATCAAATTTCATGTTTCAGAGTACAGGCTCCTTCCTAAGCCCTCCTCCTGAAATCCCTTGCTAAAGGAAACTGCAGATCACCTGCAGAGCTTGAGAAGGGGTTGTTCCTATGTGTAAATGAAGTGA